GAGGAGGCGGAGGAGGAGGGGGACAGGGGACGTTCCGAAAGAACAAAAAGGGACCATGAAATCCGGGAGATCGCCCCAGCCATGATCGGTCACACACTCCCCTCACAGAAAGACACCCGGCCCCCGAATGCCCGCGCGCGAAGTGCGACTGGCCCAGTCGCACTTCGCGCGGGGCGTAACAGGCTAATGAACTGACTACAGTCAACCCGTATCGTAAGGACGCACGGCAAGGATGCGAGGGCCTTGGAGGGCCATGTCGACACTCTGCGAGCGGGGCGCGGCCGGCGAACGTGGCCAGGGATGGGCCGAAAGGGAAAGGATGCAAGGGTAACGTTGGGAAGGTTGCTCATCCTTACTGTGCGGGTTGGCTGTACCTACCAGGCCACCTCAACCCAGCCCGAAGACCCAAATGTCGGATGGAGAGGGGGGCGGGTTCCAGATGTGTTCTTGCAATCTGTTCCCGACGCCCCCGCCCCCCCGCTGGACACCGAGGGCAACTTGAGGCCTTCGGGTTGGGTTGCCGCGGGTCTGTCGATCTCTCCTCCTCCTCCTGCTCCTCCTCTTCCTCCTGCTCCTCCTCATCCTGCTTCCGGTGGTTTGGTGGGTGGTGAGCCACGAGCGAAGCGAAGAAGCCCAGGGGGCCCTGACGATGCGCATCAGGTTTATCTGGAGCGCGGCCCACTGTTCTGCTTTTCGTCAATCAAAGGGCCCAAGGACACACAAATAAATACACACAAATAGCAGGATTCCTAATTCGAACACATCTACAACTACACACAGCAAAACTGCACCTTGTTGCGGGGACCAAGGGTGGCAATCATAATTCGATTTGGCGCGTCGGTCGGTCTGGGTGGACGGACGCCGCCTCACGACCTACGATGGAAGGCGACGGTCGTGCCGACGACGTTGCGCGCCAAGCGTGGAAGCGATCGCCATGTTTCACGGCGAAGCTTGGCAGCTGCCGCAAGATGAATCATAACATGAACAAGCGTCTCACCCTCGGACGGGGAATCTGGCACGAAGAAGAACTCGAAATCGCGGGGGATCGGGTCGCGAAGTTGCGGCTGGGGCAGATGCGGGGGAGGGAAGCGGGCTGCGCGAAGTAGAGGCCCCAAGGCATACGGCTGGATTCGCTGAACAGGGGGATGCGGGATGTCGGCGGGGAGCGGCCCAGGGGACGGGGCCTCGGCGATGGGCAGCGCGGGCAGCCGATGCTTCGCGAAAAAGGGACACTCACAGAACGACACTTAGCGGCCGGGACGTGGTGCACGTTGGGGGCGCGAGCGGCGGCACCCGACATGCACCCTGGCCCGCTGGCTAGGTGTAGTTCTATAAAAGCTCCGTTTTGTGAGGATGTCTCGGGCGAAACCAGCACGTACAGAACTACACCTAGTGCCTGGCTAAGTGTAGTTCTGAACGTGCTGGATGTCTCGCGCGGGGCGAGCACGTACAGACCGGCACCTAGCGAAAGGGACGGGGTACAGGTCGGGTGCGTCGTCGCGCCCCGCCCGCAGAGTCAAGAAGGCAGAGCCCGCCGAACCCCCTGCCAGCCTCCGGGCGGAAGTGTCTGAACGTCCCAGGGCTATCCGAAGGAATTCCATCTGCGGCCTCCGCCCACATCGCTCCCCTATCAGAGCATCTCGCCTGGTCACTATGTTCCCTATTCCCGCCCGCTGTTTTGCCCTCCCCCTCCCCCGTTCTTCCTCTACCTGCCGGCTACTATTTCCCTGAGCGTTTCCCAATTGCCCCTGGCCCCTGCGCGGCGGCAAACGCCCGCGCCCCCCCGCAGCTGAAAGACTCACCTTGCGCTCATCCTCCAACCCACCCGTGAGGCGCAAGTCTTGATTCCACACTGACACTGGCAAGCGACGTCGAGGCACCGGCACATCCGACAGGCGCGATCGGCCCCCTCGAATGGCGGACGAACCAATACGTAAGACGATGTCGCGAAAGTAAGTTTGGAATTTGGGGATCCGCGGAAGAAGCTAATCCACTCGCCCAAACTGTAGTTCTGCGCCTGTCCGACTCATATGTTCCGATATTTTTGGGGTGTTTGTCCCCCCCCCACTTCCCACACTTTCCCATATTTTCTGGGGAATCGACGATTCACTGTGCATGTGTGTTTTTCCCTTCCTGAGTACAGTGGGGGCGCGCGTCCAGAAGCCATCTGCTTTTCGTCAGGGCGCCCTGGGTCTCTTCGCTCCGCGCGGAGCGCGGCAACTTCCCGCAACTGTTAAGGAAACTGCTGCGTTCAGGGTCTCCCCTCGGGTGCACCTCGCGCGCGGGTTTTCAAGGTCGGGTTTCTTGCGGGGGGGGAGGAGGAGGAGAAAGAAGGGAGTTGGCGACCCCACTGCTCTATTCAAAACGAGAACCCAACCAACAGAGGGTTGGGGAAACAACGGAAACGCAGACAGCGCAATCCGACCTAGGCGCAGTGCGAGACAACTGAAGCCTGGTGAGCGTCTTCCTCCGCCTTCTCGTCCTGCTCCTCATGCTCCTCCTCCTCCCCCTCCTCCTCCTCCGATCGCCTCTCCCTCCTCCCTCTTCCCTCCTCAAACTCCTCCCTCCTCCCTCCTCCCTCCTACCGCCTCCCTCCTCAATCCACCCTCCTGCCTCCTCCCTCCTCCTCCCCCCTGCCGCCCCCCACGCGGCGACCGCCTCCCCCCTGACGCGCGGCCCCGCCCGGCCGCCAGGCGCGGCCTCTCGGTGGCCGCGCCGAACGCGCCGAAGTCGACGGCCTGGCGGCCGCAACGCGCGGCAGGCGCGGGAGTCCTCGGTCGATCTTCCTCGTCGTACTCCTCCTTATTGTATCCCTCTTCCTTCTCCTGAGCCTCCTCCTCCTCCTCCGCCTCCTCATCCCTCCCGTCCCTCGCCCCCCCCCCCCCTCCCCTCTCCTCCTCCTCCTCTCTCCTCCTCCTCCTCCTCCTCCTCCTCCTCCTCCTCCTCCTCCTCCTCCCCCTCCCACTCCCTCTCCTCGTCCGTCTTCTTCTTCTTCTTCTCCTTCCCCTTCTCCTCCGCGCGCAAGCCCCCTCGGACAGTCCCAATCCCTGCACACCAGGAAGACTACTGGGGCTCACGAGCTACCCACGGGCCACTCTTCGAGGCCTGGTGGGAGACGCTTCTGGGCGAACTTCAAGAGGGCCCTATGCCCCCCACTCTGGCTGTTGCGGGGTGGGGTGCAGGGCTCCCTGAATTTCCGAGAGGCCCGAACCCGCTAACACTCGCACTGCCGACACCAGAGTACCCCGCGACAAACGGCGAGATGAGGTCGGTGGCCGGGGTGGATGGCTGGCTCCTCCTCGTCGAAACTGGCTACCCTCCCGTACTCGGCGACGCTGCCGATCAGCTCGGCCCCGACGGCTGCGGGGGCTCGGCACGGCGATCCGAGCCACCTGGCGCAGGACCTCCTATGGGTCTGCTTCCCACCCACCCCCTCCTCCTCCTCCTCCTCCTCCTCCTCCTCCTCCTCCTCCAGGTCCTCGTCCTCGTCCTCGTCCTCGTCCTAATCCTCCTTTTCCTCCTCCTTCTCCTCCTCCTCCTCCTCCTCCTCCTCCTCCTCCTCTTTCTCTTCGTTATCATCAGCATCAACATCAGCACCAGCATCCTCCTCCTCATCATCCGTCTCGTCCTCCTCCCCCTCCCCATCAGCATAAGTATCAGCATTAGCATCAACATCAGCATTCTCATCAACATCAGCATCAACAGCAACATCATAATCATAATCAGCATCCGCATCAGCCTCCGCATCCGCCTCCACATCAGCATCATCAGTTTCATATTCAGCATCAGCATCAACATCAGCACCAGCACCAGCATCATCATCATCATCATCCTCATCATCATCACCATCAGCATCGTCATCACCACCATCATCATCACCGTCATCAGCACCACGTATACGATCACCATCTTAATTATAACACATGAGCAACATTATCACCATCATCATCCTCGTCATCATCCCCGCCACCATCATCATTAGCAACGCCACCATCATCACCACAACCGCAACCGCCACCAACATGATCATACACTAACATTATCATCATACACATCACCAAGGCCATCACCACCACCAGCGTCATCATGATCATCATTATCACCATCAGCACCATCATCCGCATCAAACGCAGCAACATAATCAGGAACATCATCGCTCTCACCATCATCATCGTCATCGTCGTCAGCATCATCACCATCACCATCACCCTCATCATCAGCAGCATCATCATCACCATCATCATCATCATCATCATCATCACCATCACCATCACCATCATCATCATCATCATCACCATCACCATAACCATCACCATCATTATCATCATCATCATTACAATAACATTCATCACCATCATCACCAACCACCACCGCCAATATCAACCTCAACATCAACATCATCACCATCATCAACATCAGCACAAACACCAGGACCATCATCATCATCAACATCGTCATCAACATCAACATCATCATCATCATCATGATCATCATCATCGTGATCAATTCCACCATCAACACCAAACTCATCACCAGTATCAGCATCGTCATCATCATCACCATCATCATCATCACCACCATCATCACCATCACCATCACCATTATCGTCATCTCATCCCCGCCCTCATCCCCGCCTCCTCCTCCTCATGCCATGGTTGCCTCCCCGTCCCCCTCTTTGTGCAGAGGGGGGGGGCGAGGTCCGGAGCACCAGCGCCCAACGTGCAGGGTAGTCCGATCGGTGTCCCATCGATTCATCCTCGATCGATCCATACGGGAAGTTGGTTGTGGCTCGATCGGTCGACCTTCGACCCGTCGATCGAGAGTGCGGGGGAACGCGACGAATCGCGGCGCGCCCGGTGGTGCGGCGTGGCGGGGAGGCCCGGGTGCGTCGCCCCTCCTCACGGCCCCCCTCTCCGCCCCCCCCCCCCCCGATCCTCTCCCTCCCCCTCTCCCTCCTCCTCCTCCTCCTCCTCCTCCTCCTCCTCCTCCTCCTCCTCTCTCCTCCTCCTCCTCCTCCTCCTCCTCCTCCTCCTCCTCCTCCGCCTCCTTTTTCTCCTCCTCGTCCTCCTCCTTTTTCTCCTCCTCGTCCTCCTCCTCCTCCTCCTCGCCCTCCTGGTTCCTGGTTTCTGACGGCGTTGGTCTCTGCAGGCGCTGCCGCTTCCCCCAAGGAGGCCGGGTCGGGCCCCCTGGGGGATCAGGCGAAAACGCATTTTTTTTGGGGGGGTGGGGCCCCTCAGATCAGGAGGGAGGGGGGGAGGAGGGAAAATTGCACAACATCATAACCTGGGAAAAAAGGAAAGGAGCGGGGCTCAGGCATCATCGCAGCGCGGCGGCGCGTGGCGGGTCAGGGCCCGAAGGCCCGCGTTGGGTCTTCCCTCCAGCGGGTTGCGTGGCCCGCTTGGGCCACCGCCCTGGGGCGCCCCAGCCCTCCCCCCCCCGCAGGGGCGCCCGCCAGCGCCGAAGATGGGGCGGGGGCCGGCGCGGAGGCAGTAGGCGGAGGGGGTGCAAAGCAGCGCGCGGAAACCAGGCTGGGCGCAAGTGGAAAGTGGTGGCAGCGTAGAGGCGGCGGCGGCGAGGCCCGAAGGGGGGCAAGGTTGGCCGCGGAGGTTTTGGCGCGTGACTTACACGGGAAGGGATGGGGGGTCATCTGTGGGGCCCTCTGCGGGGTGCCGCGCGCGGCGGGGAAGGGCCCAAGGGCCTCTCCCTCTGCCCATCGGACCCCCCCGCGCACAGGTGTCCGAGAGGCCAGCGGCGGGACCCTTCGCCCGCCAGTAGGCGTAGGGCTCCCAACACGTCGGCGTCTTGGCCGCACTGCGGGCTTCCACCGGGCGCGAGGGAGGCTTGGGCCCTCCCCCCCCGGTGGCGCGAGGCAGCGGCGGCCGCGCTCCCCAAGGTAGATGGCAGAACGGCCTCGCCCCCAGCTTGCCGTCGCTCGGACGTCCATTTCCCGTGAGGTTTTCGGTTTCGTGGTGTTTTTTTTTTGCTCGATGGTCCATGATGGTCCTGAAGGGTCCTCGCCGAGAAAAAACACACATGTCCGAGCGATGCCAGGACATAGGAAGCCTCCTCAAGCGGCCGCCATCCCCATGAATGGTGGCTGCTTGGGGGGGCGCCCCCGTGCGCGGGGGTGGTTTCTGCCATTCGTGTCGGTGGCGCGGGATAGCGCGTCCTCTCCCCCCAACCCTTGATCCACCCCCCCGCCGTTGGCTGAGAGTGCGGGCGGGGTGTGGGAGTGGCGCGGGCGCCCGAGGGCGCGAGCGAGAGCGCGGGAAGGGCGCGGGCGCCCCGGCCTGCTGCCGACGCGGCCGCGGCCGCCCAGGCCTTCGCCAGCGGGGCCCGCAATGGACACCCTCGCTGGGCGGCTCGCTGCCGCGCGGCGCCGCGGCCGCCCAGGCCTTCGCCGGGGCGGCCCGTGGCGAGGCCCCCCTCTTGACCCCGGAGCCCCGACTGCGCGCCAGCCCCCCCCCCGCCGGCACAGGCGGGGGGGGGGGGAGGTTCCTCGGGCTCTGTTGCTCCCATCGTGCTGAAGGACCACGTCCCAGAAACAACTTCGAGCACCGAGGAGAGGTGTCGAAAGAGGGTCGAAACAGTGTCGAAACAGTGTCGGACGAGTGTCTCCTCCCACTGCCCGGTACGTGAAAACCTTCGAGTTTCGGTATTTTTTTGGTGCTCGAGATTATTTCTGGTGATCGAGGCTAAAGCAAGTTGGAACATCATAATACTCGGGCGAAAGCGGGGGGGAGACGGGGCTTCAAGAAGGTGAGATGGTAGGGAGTGAAGTTGGCAGAGCCTTCGCGCGCCGCGGGTGGGAATGCCCCTCGGGGGCCCGCGCGTTGCCTGTAGCAGTGATGTGCGCTTAATGAGTGGGTGAGAGAAGCCCCGCGGGGGCCTGCGCTGATCGCAGTCGCCGTTGATGTTCAGTCTGTAGAGTACTGCCGTAGAGAGGGTGGGGCCCCATGCCGCCAGCTGCGCTGCTTCCGTCACGCGGTGGGCGCGTGCATGTCGGTGACAGGAGAACGCAGATATTGGAATGGGTCGGCGGCAGCTGGCGGCCCTGTCTGCTGCGAAGCCCGAAGTACAGTCGGGGCCCTGAAGAAGGAACCCTTTTGGTTGGGGAGGAGCTCCGCGTTCCTTAAGTGTTTCACAGCTTGCCTCAGGTTTTCCTTCTGTTTTCGATAGGAAACCGATGTTTAACTTATGGGAAAAAGGGGCCTCGTTCCTTATCTAGGGTTCCTTCGGTCAACGCCCCGACTGTAGGCATGTGGGGATCTGGCGCGCCGGCTGGCCGCCGCCTGGCCCGTCCGATCGCGAGTCCAGGCGCGCAGTCGCAGTCTTGGGGGGTCGGCCCTGCACGCATGGCCGGACTCCGCACTCGCTCGCATTACAATCGGGGTCGGCCCTTGCACGCATGGCCGATCGCAAACCACATCCTGGCGTAACCGCACCCTTTGCAGTCCGCCGCCTTCGGTCCTGACGCCGGCGGCTGCTGATCCAGCTGCCGACTTTGGACTCGTGCGGTCCTGATGTGCCTGAGGCTGCGTCTGGTCGAGTGCGGTCGGCGGGTCGGGCTTCGGCTGCAGGTTATGCCGATGGTGTGGTTCGTCCTTGGGTAACGTGGTCTGGCTGTTCATCAGCTCGGCGATTTTGACCATTGCCTGAATCGCGATTTCCCTCGGAAAATGTGTTACAAGGAATAACGTCGGCGTGGATGTAGGGTTGTGTCATATGGCTACCTTGGTACCCATAAAGATGTCTTTCTTCTGTTGTGCCACGTCTGCTGGGTCGTGGACGTCGTCGTGGCAATGGTACTTCGAGTGGTTCAGCATCCGGGCCAGCTGGTGGTTGGCGCCTTTTGCCCCTTGGATCTTGTGGAAGGGGCGCGCCGCCCGCAGCTCGTGGGTCTTGCAGTGGCTGCTGAGAGCTCCTTCCACGTGCGCTCGTTGTTTGCAATGCGATGTCTAGGCCTGCTCGCCTCCGCCCTGCCTGCGGGAACTACCGTGCAGGCGCACCCCGCTCGGAAGTGCGGGCGGGCCTCGGGGCCTGTTAGCGCCCAGGGTCAAAAAGGCTCGAACCAATGTCCGTTGCGGTGTCCCTGTTGGCCCTCGCTGCGCCGGACAAGTCGTGCACCGGGCCGAAGGCGGTGAGCGACCGCCTCGTGTGCACGCATATCTTGGGCAGCGCGCCCTCGCGGTCGTACACGCCCTTGCTGATGACAGCGGCCCAGCGCTCGATGATGTCGTGGATGCGCTCCCTGGTGCTCGCCCCTGCTGTCATGCCTGGCGGTGGTGGGGCTGGGGGTCGGCTTGCGGGCTCGACGGCCGCGTCCCAGTGCCGCTTGGTGTCGTCGTCGGCTTTCGGGGTCGTTGCGCCCAGGTTTGGTGTCGTTTGGCTCGTTGCGGTCCCCTAGCTGCTCCCGTGGTTTCGCGGGGTGGTCCGAAGTGGCTTGGGTGGTGCCTCGTGCCATGGCTGTGGTGTGCTCGGCTGCTTGCCCTCGGTGCCGCACGCGCGGCCTGCTGTGGTCAGTTGCATGATGGGCGTAAACTTTCGCATGGCTGGTAGAATCGTGTAGCGCGGCGGGGGGTTCGCTGCATGCGTCGGTGTCGTTCTTGTCGTTGGTGTTACCGCCGTTGGTGCTTAGCTGTCTTCGGGATGAACACATGTGCGTCGTTCCTGCTGTCTGTTCCCTCGCGGCTGGAGGATGCCGTGCCCTCCGTGGTCGGGGCGGCCAAAAGGTCGGGTAGTAGTGCAGTCGCCGTCGGACTTTGCTGTTAGTTCCTTGAGGCTACGGCATGCACGTTGTCAATCGTCTTCGAGTGCGGCTGTGCTGCGTGGGTCTCTGCGATGGTCCTGAATGTCCACTGCTGGATACCGAGATCGACGTCTTGGCTGGAGAGGAGTACCTGCGTGAGGCGACCGCTGTCGGTGTCGGAACGCTTCAGGTTCGTCACACCGTTGTCGCTCATGTAGTCAACTGCTGCCTTGGGCCTTGGGTCGGTCTACGCTGGCCCTGACATCGTTTCGGTCGCGGTACTTCGCGATTACGGAGTCGAGGGAAGGGATGTCGACTGTGAAGGACCGAACCTGAAGTGACGGCGATCGCTGCCTCGGGGGCGTCGGAGGCGTCGGGGGCGGTGGTGGCTGCGTCCTGCTGGGCATGGCCATCGGCGGGTACTGGATGATGTTGCGGTTCGAGTCGTAGAAACATGCCACCCTGACGGCTGATAGAGCTCTCTTCCAACCTGGTTGCAGGAGCACGTTGCCTGGGT